ATATAATTCTGGTCACTTAGAGTCGCCTGGTGCTGTCTGACATTTTCATTCGAGACCTCATTTTCGGCATGGCCTTAATTTTATATACCGGGGACTTAAATGTTCAGAAAATTTTGATACATGTAAATATAAAGGACTGGGACCATTTCTGGTATTTTAAAAGTTTATGCCGTTTTTTCCCAACAACGCTGCGGTTCACCGCAGAATTTCCATGTTTTAACATCGCTCCGATATAACGGCACTTCCTTATCTTCGGCATTATGAAGCTCTTAGCCTCAATCTTGAAGAGGTAAACATTTCTTTTCTTGAAGGGGTAAACATTTTTTCTACCACGGTAGTGACGGTAATTTGACAATTGGATTTCTCGTTTGGCCGGTAGGTCCCAAATTTGACAATGTTTTTTTTTAATTTTCCTAAGAAAAAAAAAAGAATTATGGTCCATATTTTCGGGCTACCACCAATTTTGGGAAGTTTTTCATCCGAATAGGCTGTAATTTGGTATTATGGATTTTCACTTTGTTTTTGGTTATGCCAAATTTCGATATCTTAAGGATTTCAGGCCAAGTTTTCGATCCGATTGACTGTAAATTGGTATGTGGGGTTCTAATTATTATTGGTCCATTTTTTGGGTAACCGCCAAATAAGTATATCCCCACGACATGTTTTGACTAGTTTACCAATTTCACTAGTTTACCTTTCACGACATTATGGTACAGATTATTATGACTACGTGCATATGTTTTTAACATGCAAAAAAACGTGATAATCCCATCGTCATTTTATAAAACATGCATATAATTACGTTCTGAGCATATACGGTTCGATTTAAATGGATTTGTCCATGGTCCCTCATTGGGCCCAATTGAAATTGGAGAGAATCGGTTCAGAATTATTTAGCTCATTAAAAAATGTAACTCATATTTGTGCGATTGGCATGCTATTTTGCGTAGAAAAGTGTTTCATTTAAATCGGAGCAGATGTAGATATAGTTCCCTATATTTTTTCGACCGATTTTATGTAAATGGTGCAAGGAACACCCAAGGCCTTTCCTATTAGGACGAAAATTGGATATCGTATTGCATTAAATATAGAATAAAGTGTGTTATTTATTTTTGAAATCGGATCAGATGTAGTAACTAGAGCACCAAACTGAGAACGTTTGTCTCATTGAAACGAAATTTTGCATAACGTATTAAATTGAGTTAAGAATAACGTGTGTTAAGTTTTAATGAAACCCATATATGTATATTTTTGTCCGATTTTATGTAAATGGGGTACCGGACTCCCAAAGTTTGAGACAAAATTTTGCACAGCTTACTGAAATAAGTACAGCGTAAGTAATAATTTTATTTCGCAAATCAACAGTTTCTTTTAATTTGGCTCAGATTTAGATATTACTACCATATATATTTTCGTGCGATTTTATGAAATTGTGCACTAAATACCCAACGTTTGTTCCATTCAGATGAACGCTTTGATGCAACATACCGTATGATGTTTGTCAAGTTTTCTTCAAATCGGTTCAGATTTACATATATCTCCAATGCCTAATTTTGCTCAAATTCATACAAATTGTACCAAATAATGATTTCAAACTGACATGTGTATGGATTGATTTTAATTGGTTCATATACAGGAATGGAAAATAAAAAATGTGAAAAGGTACAAACAGTACATTTTAAATAAAGAGAGAGTAAATACAAAAAAAAACATTTTATTCAGTCTCATAAAGATCGATTTTCAAGATATCACTTAGTGTATCTTTCTGATGGTAATAATATGAGAATTCTTGCTTCTGTCGATTGCATTTGAATATGAATGCTATTGACTAATTTTAATTTCACTACCTCTTTCTCGAAATATCTTTATCTGCATACTTTGACATCAATATCTTTATCTGCATAAGTTTTTCGGTCAAATCCATAACAAATTCTGATCCAAGAAAAAACGAAAAAAATATATAGGGGAGCACCTTTGAATACCTTTTTCTCTCAAGCCTCAAAAAATTAGTTATGTTATAATTTATGTTTTCTTATATGTTTTAACTATTAGGTGCATAGGTAACCTTTACAATGAATATACATATGACATACTTTATGTTTGATATACATATTTTATTACTATTTTAATGGACGAAGTCAAAGTGTTCATAACTGCCCCCCCCCCCCCCATGGTGGCACATTTGAACAAAGCTTGATATTTTTGAACGGCATGGTTTTTTACAGTGTTTAAGTTCAAATATATATGTATTATATTCATATATATCAGAAATGCATTTATTTATTAAAAAAAAATATATACAAATATTCGAAAATTAAAAAATTCTGATCAAAATTTATTAAAACCTAAAATGGCAGAAATAAATATGGTGAAAAATACATCTAATTTCCTAATCTTATTAGACCATTTGAAATTTTTGAGAAATCGAACTCCGTTTTTTATTGGAGTTTATTGGGCATGTTCAAAGGCATGCCCACCCCCCACCAGTGGCATTTTACGGAAATTTACAATATTTTTTTTTGTAGAAAATATATATGAAAGAAAATACATCAGTTACTGCGAAAACATGGTCACCCATGCACAATTTGTCGACAACAGAAAAAGCTAGCCAAAGTGGTTTACGCAGATAGCGAACAGGATTGCTATATACAAAAATGTGGTTGCGGGTCGGAAAAATTTTAAACCGAGATTTTAAGAGCGCTGTTCAAAGGTGCCCCACGTTCAAAGGTTTCCCCCTTCTCCCCTAGTATTTTTTGGGCGTTCTGCTTTACAATATTTGCTTATAAAAATTATACCGTATATGTTCACTTTTTGGTATGGTGGCATTGGAAACATCACTACATATAAAAGAATTATATTGAATAAATTTTTAGGAAAAGAAATTTCCAAGATATCATTGGAAAACATTGTTTGAATAGGTTCAATTCCCCTATATAAAAATCCCACCAATTTTTAATTACATCGTAGGTTCCAACCTCATTCGCTGTAATATAGCTCCATGCGGAGTTGAAAACTTAATTTCATGTAATTGTCATAATGTCGATAATCGCTTCAAAACTTTTATTAGTCTGATGCTTGTTAATAAAACCTATTACATTGCTAATGTCTGACCATTCTCATTCAATTTAATTTAAATTCCATGTTTAAAATTAAGCCAGAAAAATATTATTTTGTATTAACTATTATCCTATAATTTTCTATCAATGGTACTCCTTATGATTTTCCTATGCTCCTTATTGCAAATGTATACCCACCTAGCTAATACCTACCTTATCTAACTCACTAAACAAATTAAAATGCTCGGCTTCACTTAGTAAATGTCAAGTCATTTTTGTCTTTTGTTTATTATCTTATCTGCAGGCATGCTTCTTTTTATATGTCACACAACAGTCCCTCCCGACCAGGTCACATGCACTCACATAAATCAAGCAAACATCAAAAATCTCTAGCATGCTACAAAAAAGTATGCGCAAGCAGGCAAATAATAGAGGAAACCAATCAATGTGATTGTTGTTGCTTGTTATTCACACGAGTGTGTTATTCTATTCCCGCCTTGTGGTAGTAATCTAAATGAGAACAAACGAAGCAGCAACAACAACAACAACCACAACAGCACCAACAACAAAAATAACTATGAAACAATTTTCATTCATAAAAATTTGTATTTAACGTAAGCTGTGTCATCAGTCGGCCTGACGAACGATGTACTACGATGCCGACGACGACGACGACCAAACAAAAGATGTGAGTAGCGTCTGTGTCGTTCGGTTGTACTCATCGCAGTGAGTGTGAGTCACACACGAACATGGTATGCTGTGTATGAAAGCAATAGAGTTCTGTCCGACATGTTGTAGGAATGTGTATGAGGTATGGATCAAATGCAAAACAAATTGTTAAGATACCTAAACTAGCCGAGAGTGCACAAACACACACACACCAACACAGTCGCCACCTGCATGCATGCATTTAGCACCCTAGTTGTGTGTGTGTTTGTTTGTTGTGCTTGAGTCATCTGCCTGCCATGAAGCAACATGTTGTATCGATTGCAACTTCGTTAAACGACGATCTGTTAAACAGCCGAACGAAGAATAGAAGAATTCTTGTTACGTTTCTTGTGTTTGTGTGGATGTGTTGTATGCGGTTTGAAGGGTTGTGTGTTCGTTCGTTTAGGTAGTTGGTTGGCTGGTCGTTTTGTTGGTTGGTTGGAAATGTTTTACAGCATTTGCCGCATGTGAACGATTTCATTGAAATTGAAAATTTAATATCACAAATTCATTTGACGCGAGCGCACGCGACGACGGATGTTAAATAGCCGTGTTCACTTGTACAAAACAGCAACTACAACAACAAGACAACATTCATAATTCTTTAATGAACACATGTTCATCTCAAAAAGATAGCAGAAGATAAATGATAAAGAAATTTGTTTGCAACAATAACAACAAAATAAATAAGTGAAAATTTTTATTGCAAAAAATACTAAAAAATATTGTATAAACAAAATCAACTCAAGTGAAATATTTTGAAAAAAATATATAATAAGAATATAACAATAATTTTTTTATCAGTGCGCCAAACTATTTACAAGAAACACAAAAATAAATAAAAACAAATAAGAAAATTATTATTGAAAATATATAATTAAATAAATATTTAAAATAAACAAACAACAAATATTCCATAACAATGTAGTGGGAAAACAATTATCTTTGTTCAAAACAAAACAAGTCAACATAAAGTGCTTATAAAAAAAGATTTACTGGAAAAAATATCTGAAAAGAAATTTTTATAAAATAAAAATTTTAAATAAACAATTTTGTGATTTATATTAAAAATACCCCGTACTGACTGGATTACGCGTTCAATCTCTCCACATATATTTTTGGGATTAAAAAATTATCGCCTCCAATTTTTGGGATTATATTTCGTAATTGATCTCATCGTACGGATCGGACATATTACCCCATTATACCTCGCTTGGAAAATAAATAATTGTAACCATGGCTGCGGATTTATCAACCACAACAAACAGCAAACCAACAACAGCAATACCCTCCTCCTTAACAACAACTTCCTCAACGGAAAATCTCTATATGCATTTGAATGCATCCGAATTATCGGCAATCATCATGAAAGGTAAGTTACAAAAATTTATACTTCCGTTATTTATTAGGTTTACAAAAAATGATAGGTTTGAAAACTGCAAAAATTCTAAAACAAATTCTAGAGATTTTAAATTTAATTGTGTTATAGAGGAAATTGAAAAAAAAAATTAGATTTGAAAAATGTGTAAAAATTGCCAAAATTCTAAAACAAATTCTAGAGATTTTAAATTTATTGGGTTATGAAAAAAAAAAATTAGCAAAAAAAAAATTCGTAATTGCGATATTAAAAATTAATATATTATAAATAAATAAATTTTGAAATTTAATTCTTAAATTAAATTACAAATTAAAACAATTTGATAGATTTGAAAAAAGGAAAAATCTTAATTAGAAAAAAATTAAATTTAATTTTTACAGAGGATATTGAATTTTTTAAATGAAAAAGTGGATTTGAAAATTATGCAAAAATTTTGAATTATAAAATTGTAGATATAATTTTGAATTGATTTTTTATGTTGAAAATTTAATACAAAATTGTCACAGTTTTGTATTGAGCCCATAGCTTGTCTGAGGGTCATGTTTCATATAATAACCATTCATCGTAATGTCACGATTAGTCAGTCGCTGAATAGGCATTACGCCTTGAGTCGCGGAAAACCACAAATGCGCTTTCGATCCACGAATATTTATTTAAAAAAATCCGATATTTATTTAAAAATAAATCATCAAATGACAAAAATTAGAAAATGGAAATGCTAAATAATAAAAATAATAATAATAAAAATAAATTACTTCTTGAGCGACGGATATAGATATATATGTATAGATATATATTTATAAAAATTCTGAGTAAAAAAATATTAACAAATATAAAATTAAAAAAAAAAATGAAAATCAGATCACGAAAAGGAGATTATATATTTATAAAAATTTAAAAAAAATATTCAAATAAAAATTGTAAAAAAAAAATTTAAAAAATAACAGATGTGAATTTAGGAAAAAATTTTGCTAATTTTGTCTCAAATTTACTTCCTCCGCGGTTTTATACATTTCCGTCGGTATTCGAAAAAAAAAATTTCATACGATCGTCATTTAAAAATTTGACCTTTAAGTAAAGTTTCCACAACTTTCAATTCTACATATATATATATATATATATTTTTTTTTATTTGACAAAAAAAAATTATTTAAAAAAACTTAAAATTTAAAAATTCAAAAAATCCGAACAGCTTATATTTTTTAATGTAATTAATTCTCTGCTAAAAGAAAAAATTCGAGCATAATAAAGGAAAGTTTCGGACTTACAAAATTTTTTTTAAATCGAAAATATTTTAAAAAATAGATTTCTTGCTATTTTGAAAAATAATTCCAAAAATTACAAAAAAAAAAAAAAAAAATAAATAAATCAATAAAACTGAGCTATGTAAAATGAAAACTCAGCAATACTGAAATGCCACGGACTTTGAAAAAAAGTCCAAAAATCAATTTAACAATTCCTATAATATTAAAAGTAGTTCAAAAAAATTATACTTATTGTAAAAAAAAACTGGCCAAGGACTAGGACATTTTTCAAAAATCTAAAAAAAAAATAAATATTCCCATATATTAATAAATTAATTAACGAAATGCAAAAAAAATCCGGGCTTTGCAAAATAAAAATTGAGCCAAGCTGAAAAGTTACGGGCATGGAAAAAAAATATTTCAAAAAAATTATGTCAAATTCTTAACTAAACCCAAAAATTCGAGATTTGTAAAATGAAATTGAGCAAAGCTGAAAAGCTTCAAAACATTTCATTATAGTGTATTTTTTATATAGATTCAAAAAATATTTGAATATTGTAAAATAATTTTTTATTTCATTGCAATATTTTGGATTTTCTAAATATTTCTTCTTTCATAATTTCCTCTCAACCCCCATCCTTCACCATTTTCTGCAAAAAATATTTAAAAGCTCACAGAAAAATGCTCCATATGTTTTACTATTTATAGTGAAAAAAATATATTTTGAGCGAAGGTAACACCTGTTTATTCCATTTGGATTTTTGAGCACTTAAAATATGACCACACACACACAACACAAGCCATAACAACAACAAGTACAAAAACAATAACAAACAAAATATTTTTCGCAAATGAAAAATTTGAAATGAACACCCCCACTAGTGTCAGGTGAAAGATATGTAAATGAGGCATTGGTCGACCCGACGGTACCCCTACCAACCAACATAGCAAGGGGGAATGATGAAGACTTTCAAATACATCAGTAATTCAGCTAAAATAGAAAGGAATTAATAATACTAGTGGAAAATGTAATGATGCTGAAAATTATTTATTTTTCTATTTTTAATTTAACGCAAAAAATTATATATTTTTATTTAAAATATAATTTTTTAATAGACAAAATTAAATATTAAATAAAATATTTATTATTTTTAATAAAAAATATTTTTAAAATTTTTTTTCTAATTGTTTCATAAAATTCTTTTATTTTATTTCGAGAGAAATATGCTAAAAAAGTGAGTTTTTCAGTAGATGCTTTCAAAATATATATTGCTTACATTTTTACTTATAACTTTTTTTGGATTGGTGATTACCAAAATTTCAGAGAATATAAATTAAGGACCGTACTATCTAAAAACGTGAAGAACTTTAAAACATGCTAAGTCGACTTAGCATACTATGGTTCGGAGGCGTCGATTTGTTTTAATTTTTCTAATTGAATTTTCAATTAACCCCCACATTTTTTTCAATATCTTACAAAATTATTGTCCATCTGTTTCCGTATATTGTGGAACGAAAAAAAAAATTAATAGAATATCATTTTTGGAATTTGTTTACTATATTTGATTTCAATTGAATTTTAATTTTCCAAATGCCAGCCAACCCCAGCGAATGGTGGGCTGGCTGGTATATGGTGGACCTTGTTATAATTTGCATTTTTTGCAAATTGAATTGAATGAATTTCATATTGCCGTCGCTGCTGGTGTTTCCACCAAATGCTAATGGTGTTGAACTGTGAAACAGCTTTAATACAAAATGCAAAAAAATAAATAAATATACACTTATTTAGCGTTTAATGAACCCATAATGTTGATTTTTTTTTCTGTTGCCGACAGACCGACAAGACAACCCGATACCGTCATGAAAATTTAGCACGTTTTTTATGACAATTTCACAAAACACAATTAAATAACACTTTTTGGTTGTTTTTGTTGTTGTTGGATTTTCTTTTTGGCAGTATGTGTGTTGGTGACCTTTAAAAGTTTAAACACCCTTTTTGTTTGGACGACAGCAAAAAAGAGCTGTTCAATAATTTATGTGTGTCTGTGTGTTTGGTTCTGGCTTTGTTTTTGTTTTTTTTGTTTTTTCGAAAAAGAAAGTACAAGTATTTTGTAAAATCCAAAAAATAAATAAAAGTTTCCATTACACAAAAATGCTTATTCTTTTATATGCCATCCAGCCAGCCAGCAACTCTCTGGGTTTTTGAAATTCGAGAAGTCAATGTGCCAATTTCTTGCCGAATGTTTATTTATTTCGTTCGTTGATTACAACAGCAAAAAAAAATGCACACAACATTTTTTTTTCAGCAGTGTGGTTAATTTTTTTTTCGATTTTTTCTGGAGACATTTACAGAAAAAAAGGTAAATTGAAAAAATCAACAATAAATACAGAAAAAAAATTAAAAATTGTGTTAAAAATTCATTACAAAATTAAATGCCGTCGCACATACATACACAGCCACATATATAGACCATAATTTATGGTTATAAGTCTGACTGACGCTTGCCGTTGGTTGTTGTTGTTTGCTTACAAATACGAGAGTGCACAAAAAAAGTGTCAACAGGTGTCGTCGACCAACAATCGACCAAGGGTAATAAATAATGTAAGCCAGAAAAATGAAATAAATTAATATGACACGTTTGTTCTGTTAACAAAAATGTAAGGAAATTTGAAACCGAATCTATGAGTGGAAAAACAAGGGTTGCTTTTTAAAATTTGAAATCTCAAATATTGTAAAGGTTTTTAATTTGTTTCCATTAACTCTTATAATTTTTATGTCAGGTTTGTCTGAGGGAAAATTTTAGGCTATTTTTTGCTATATGATTAAAATGTATCTCTCTCCACTTAATGCAAAAAACCGGCCTAATAATTTAATTTGAACAAAGATGAAATGTCCAGGTATTAAAATGAATTGAAAAAAAACTAGTAATTCAAAAAAATTATGAAAAAATATGATATTGTTTTCGAGGTATTTTATTGAAGTATATAAATTAAATAAATCTGAAAAGTCCCGGGTCTAAAAAATTAAAAAAAGTCAAATAAAAACATATTTTTTATATATTATTAAAATATACGATATTCTCCAAAAATCCATGGACTGTAAAATGAAAATTGAGCAAAGCTGAAATTTCCTGGGCTTTATAAAAAATTAAAAAAAAAAAACTAAAAAAAATCTATTTTCTAGTTATAATCTGAAAATTTCTAGCAAAATTTGACCAAAGCTGAAATGTCCCGGTCCAAAAATAAATTATATAATTTATTAAAAAATTCAAAAAAAAAAAACTTCAAATTATTAAAATTTGGCTAATTATGTACTCAAAAAAATCTGGATTTTTTCTGTTGAATTTAGAGCAAAGCCGAAAAGTTCCGGGCCTAAAATAAATTCAAACGTTTATATAAAAAATTAAAAAAAAATATTCTATTGTATATTAATAAAATTTGGCTAAATTTGTACTCCAATAAAAAATCAGATTTTTTCGATGAATTTTAAGCAAAGCTGAAACGTTTCGTTCCTAAAACCAAATCAATATTTTGATTTTTTTTTCGAAAAATAAAAACTATTTTTATATTATCAAACTTTGGTTCACTTTTACCCAAATGAAAATTTGTTGGACTTGCAAAACATTTAAAAAAATTGATTTTTTGTAAAATTATTACATATTTCAAAATTTTCTGTTTATTATAAAAATGTCTTTAAAAAACTGAAAATTGGCAAAATCTTAAAAAAACTCGAACATTCCCAAAAAATAT